ATTTTAAAATGCAGTGGGTTTAGATTATGGCATTTGTATTTACTCTCTTCAGTTCTGTAAAAATAGAATATGGAAAGTGAAAGATGTAAGGTAACCCGGAGGAAAACACTGGTTAGATAATGATGGGACAGAGCCAGTTAACAAGCAGTAAAAGATGTTAAAGACTTCAGCACACGGAGTTTACCTAAGAAGAACAAATAAAAAGCAAAAGTGTAGCTATCATTATTTGAAAGGTGACTCTCAGAAACAGATTGTAAAAAACAAAGCCTGTGTGATACTCAAACAAGCTCAGCTTGTCTGCAGCCAGACTGTGACAGCAGGTATGCGGAATACAGAGGTTAATACTCTTGAGATGAAGGTTTGGGGCTGATGAAATTGAACTAAAGACCACAAAACCGGGAAGAGAATGGCCAAGGTTCTGACTGGTTCTCAGATTTCACTCCAGGACCCAGGGCTGTCCCTCGCTGTTCACAGGACATGTCTGTCCATCTCAGCCCCTGGCCATCCTGCTCCTTGTTCCCCCAACACACTCATAGTGACACAGTCATTCTCACAAATACACTGACACACACTCACACAGACATACGCACTCTCACACAAATACCTCCCATACTCATACACACACATACTCACACACCAACACACTCACAGATGCGGTGTCACACACTCACACTGACACCCAGACACACTCACAAACTGTTGCACACTCTCACATACTCACACACCTGTGCACACACACTGATACACACTCACACGCACACACACCCTCATCTTCCTGCTCGTCCTGCAGCCCCTGATCAGATTCCTTCCGGGCTGCCCGGCCTTGGTCGCAGCCCCAGCCCCCACAGTCCAGGCAGGCAGCCCTCCAGGTCCCAGGTCCCAGACTCGCCTGCCCACCCCAGCTGCCCCGCAGACAGCTGGGGACGTGACCTGCGTTTCTCATATCACCTCCCTCACAGTGGCCTATAGTGAGTTCACGGATAACCTTTGTTAATGAAGTGACACACGATGCTGTGCACCAGAAATTGACGCAACGTCATAAACTGGCTACACTTCAATAAAAGTTTTTTTAAAAAATGAACCGTTGATGATTCTGATCTGATCTTAATGATCTGATTGGATTCTTCTGATCTGAATTGTAGGGACGTCTCTCTCTATTTCTCTTTCTGTTTGTTTCTCTCTCTCCCTCTCCTTCTCTCTCTCTTTTTCTCTTTCTGAAATAGTTTACAGTGCAGTCTTAAGTGTGATTTTATCTGCTCTATTTTTATCATTCTTGCTGTTTCTATTCTTATATACTACAGCATTGCAATTCTCAAGATGGGCTGTGAAAGATACCTTTACCTGCTGGTGGAAACCCACAAGCACCTCTCATTACACTGGTGGGACACCTCCCTGGCTCTGGTCCTTACAGAAATGCCAGGTTGAGTTCTACTTGAAATAGTTGCTCCAGCTCCATGAAAGCGCTTTAGTGTATGGTCGTTTTCTTTGTCTCAATCAAAAAAGAGGTAACAGAAGAGTTAACAGGACAAAAGAGGTAGCAGAAGGCATGGTTGATGAATTTATTTAACCTCTGGCCATGCAGTGACTTAGTACTTAGCAGGAACATTGGCACAAAGGTGCCTTGTCATATTGAACACTCTTAATTTTACGCCCAACAGCATGTTAGACATTCTGCTCTCCATCTGAGGGATGCTGGAAATGCTATCAGGGAGAGTCTTGCAGATGAGATGTTAATTGCATGTCATCTCACTGATGATTTAAAGTTTTGGAGTTCTGAGAAATATTCAAAACATTACAGTGCAAACAGGAAAAAAATATGGTTGTATTATTTCCCTTAGTAGAAACGTCAAGGATTTCTAGAAAGACAGCATGGAAATTGGCTTAAGATTTTGATTTGTTGTTAGCAAAACTTTCAAAATGTTCATAAATTTTAGAAGTCAAAACTTATATATCTAATGAAAATTATTTTCCATATATGCTGTTGTAGCTCCTGTAAATTTTTCTGTGAAGGCTGGCATTCGCTCACTAGAAGAAAAAATATTTTTTAAAGAAAGCTGTGAGTCTCAACGACGCCCTTTTATTATATTAGTGACCTTGGGATTGGAAAGGATCATTTTCTAGGTTCCTGAGGAAAGGCCCGCCAGCCAGACCCAGCCTCAGATTGCGCTGGGCAAGGAGCCGGGCTCACCTGAGAATCTACTGTCTCCTGAGCTCAGGAAGGTGCTGAGTCTCACGCTACAGACGATGGTCCCCGAAGGGTGCAAACCATACCTCTCGTGAAGGAAACTCACCTCTGTGACTGAAACACGGGAACTTGTGTTTTCATTAGAGTGGCGCCTGTGGGCAACTGCACGCTCTTTCTCTTTGTTTTCTAAGAATATTTTACGGTCTTGATAAAACTAAAAATCAAGTGACAAATTTGGCTTGGCCTCTCACTGATCAGACTCATTTGTGATGCTAAGGCGGTGTGACCACAGGAAGAAAGCACCGCCCAGACTGATGGTGCTGACTGTTGGGCAGAGCAGTTGGTACCCAGATCCCTGGAATCAAGAAAACTTGTCACAGAGAACTTTTTACAGCGAGTTTAAAATGCCAAGGCAAAGGCTGGGATCTTGTCCACAGAGAGGAACCAGAGATTGAAAGGAAATCTACATTAAACTGTCCTAGTACGGATTGATGCTACATGAAAAAGTCAGAAAGTTCTCTGGGCAGATTTCAATGGGAAGTTTTTATCCAATTACCGTGCAGCGATTTGTTTAGGTCCTTTGCTCCAAATTTTTAACCTCCTATTTTCTGGATCTCCATATATAAAAATAGAAGACTTGGGTTCCAATTCTGTCTTGGCGCTGACCCATGATAAGTTCTGAGACACGGGTCTGACACCACCCGTCTCCCCCACACGGGGCTTATGTTGGGATCAAGTTCATCCATGTCTGTGAAAGCATTAAATACTACAAGATGCTGTGTAGGTATAAGGTAGTCTAATGTTTCAAACAAAGAAAAAACGTGAATATAAGGAAGTTGGGACGTAATGGGAGTAAAAAGAGCCATCAATATCTTAGATAACTGAAGTTTTCTAAAGGGAAAAGTTATCTCTCATATCCTATCCCCAAAGTTTTTAAAGTAAGGATAGCCCATTTGTGACATTTGCAAAAGAAAAGCTGTAACATTTTTGTGCTGATGTATGATCCACTGCAGTGTAGGGTGGCTCGGGAATCTGACTTTGAGCCCGCACAGATCTGAGTCACATTCAGGAAGACATCCACTTGTTTAACCTGGCTTGACATGTTTCAGCTATTCGTTTATATATTTTTATTTTATATTTAATTTATTTTTCTAAGTAATTTCCCTCTCCAAATCAAATCCATCTAAAATATACTAGATAACAAACAAATCATCTATATTATTTGTAAATAAGATAAAATACATTGAAATAGGTTAAAATCACTTTAAAATATGTTATAATGTCAAGCTGTGGAAAACAACTATGGAGGGTTTTTAATTTTTTAATTATTTTTTTCACTTCTTGTTTGTGGCTTTTTGGTTTTCTGAAGGTAGACTTGTAACGTTTACCACTTCCCTGGGACACTGGTTCCTCCTCCATCACTCCTGCACAGCCGTGCCTGACCGTGATGACATGTGCTCTTTTCCAGAGCTGGAGGCCGAGGAGTGGTGCAAGCATCTCTGCATGGAGTGTCTGGGGACCCGGCTGAACGACATCAGCCTCGGGGAGCCTGACCTCCTGGCGGCAGGAGTGCAGCGGGAACAGAATGGTAAGTGTGTGCCCCCTCCCACCCTTCTAAAGTGCGCTCGGCGCTGGGGGACTTTGAGGCTGGAAAGGGCCTCAGAGATGCTTCAGACGAGTCCTCTTTAGAGGAAAGTACACCGACCAGCCTGAGCTGTTAAGGGGCTTCCTCGAGACTGCATGGCAACTAGGGAAGATTCTAAGGGACAACCCGGGTCTCCTGCCCCCTTGCTCTGTGACATTGCTGCTTATCTCAGTGAATAACCAGGAAGTTAACTCATTATATGTAAGGTTGTGAGTGGACAACATTCCAGCATTTTCTTCTCTGAGGGTTGTTACGGATTTAGAATCTAAATTAAGATGTTTGGCTTGTCATGTTATTTTTCAGTAGGTTTTGGGGACTGTGGCTAACGCTATGTCTGTGTCGGGCTGCGGTAATGAATACCATATGCTGGAGGGCTTGGCCAACAGGAATTAATTTCTGGAGGCTGTGTTCCCACTGTGTCCCCATGTGGCTGAGGGAGAGAAAGAACAGGCTCTTTTCTGTCTTGTCTTAGAAGGAAGGACACTAATCTGTCACGAGGGCCCCACCCTCGTGGCCTCATCAGAACTTTACTCCCAAAGACGGCATCTCTAACTCCTGTCGCCTTGGGGCTTAGGGCTTTAACCTGTGAACTTTAGGGGGCACGTTTCAGTCCATAGATTATGACATGTGGGGAAGTACAGAGGCTGAAATCTCGGGGTGTGACGGAATTGAGGTTTATGTGTCACGTGGTTTACTACCTGAACTGTTCCCTAATCTTACATTTCTGATGTCTCTTAAGAATTTATGCTTAATTTATTTTTGACTAACACCTCTCAATAATGAAATCAGAGTAATGTGAACTTTTTTTTTTCTCCCCATTTTTAAAAGTGATTATCAGCAGCAGCAGCAGATCTGGTAGTATGGGAAGAGAAACTTTCCCATGGTGTTAATTTTTGATGGCTGGTGTTTTTTGAGAAGGTTGAGGTATATTGGTGAAGCTTGACACTAACTATTAAAAAGAAAGTTGTGCGGTTACCTGTGGTTTACGTTCTGGACCCACAGGTAGAAGTGCATCTGGGTAGCGTTTAGTGATTATGATCTTGTTGTGACTAGTAAAGGCCTAACAGCCATCACTGTCTCATAGCCCATTAAAAAGCATTGTTTTTTTGTTTTTTGCTAGACTGAAAAAAGTAAATTTTCCCCACTAACTGGTCGTGAACATACACAGGCACAAAACATCGCCTATGTGGTTTCAGAAAGCCACAGAGGCGTGTCTGTGGCTCATTTTCTAGCTTCCTTTTGCTGTTCCAGTCTCTCTCCCACACTCATTTGGATTTCATCTCTCTGATTTATTTTCTGAGAGCTGTGCTAAGTACAGAACGTCCGTAATCGTGCTGCTTAAAATATGCTGCTCATTCTCAGTTTAAGAAAAGAAGGGGGAAAAAAAAACTCTTACTGATAAACATTCGTCAAGTGCTCCATACAGAAAATATGAAGAAAGTGAATAAATGAGGCCTGTGGGGGGAAGCGTCATTGCGTGTGGCTTGTCTGGTGTGAACTGTACACTCGTGCTTTAGAGATCTGGGCTTGTGTATGGTTTTCATCCAAGTGAGTAATGTATTCCTTTGGTTTATTGTAATTTTTATTTCTAATTTGGTAATAATGTCAAAGTATTTTGTCTACAATATAAAAGGAAATTTTTAATATAAAATTTTTAGGATAGGATGAACATGGAATTAAATGCTAGCGCTACATAAAAAGCACAAACAGATACAGCCTAACGACGAGTAGACCCTTTCAGGCTCAATCTGAATCCAGGCCGCTCCCCTGAATGAGGACGAGTTCCTGAGTCTCTTCTAATTTCAGTTTCCTAGTGTGTGAAAATGAACTAATGCCAACTTTTGGAGCTGTCACGATGGTTACGTGAGGTAATAGAAAGTGAAGACTCACTCTCATGCTTCGCTCAACTTAAAAAAAAAGAGACAAACACCCAAGTTTGTTTGTTTGTTTAAACACAAGTAAAAACAAAGAAATCAATAAGAATTCCCGTATATGCTTTAGGGAAGACCTGAACTTATAATGCCATCCAGTGCCATAAATGCTTTTCTTAGGTTTATTTAATAATCCTAACATCATACAAAGCAATTTTTGGGGGGAGGGGGATATTCAGAATTGCTACTTCTCTAGTGTTTTTTCTGACCCTTCAAACAGCTTGGTCTTATTTACTCTGAAACTAGCTAAGAATAAACATTTGTGCAAATAATTTTTAAAGATATAATGTGTATGCTAAGATAAAAGTGGTTATTCATTAAATTAAATTCTTTGATGTAATCATCTTTATCTAGTGCCATCAGCCGCTTTCCTGTTGATTCAGAATCCCACATGGTACACGGGAAACTAAGTGAACGCCAGTACACGTGCGCTCACACACCAAGTTATTCTTAGACTTCAAGTAACACTGCCACAAGGAAGTGCATATTAAGTAGATATTTAGAACTTTAAATTCTTACAACTTCCAGAACCTTCACGTATTTCAGTAGTATTTAATATAGCCTGCACTGACCTAAGAAAATATTAATGTACAGTGTTACAATCATAGTTATAAAAGAGTCACAGTACGTAATAGCAATTCTGGAAGACAAATGTTACATATTAATCATTGATAGCGAAGTAAACATCGTAACGAAGAAACAACTTACCTGTACAAAATTCCTGCTGTTGCAGTTGGTAGTAGACTCAAGGACATGTCTGCTTTGCTGTAGATTCAAGAGATAACTATCTGGCACAAAATGGAAAAGTAACCTCAGACTTGGCCATCTGGTCAGTGCAGAGTCAGATGTGAGGGTTTGTTTTTTTCCTGGACCTAGAGTCCCTGCTTATGAATGGGCTGGAATTGGCATGAATTCCTTCTTTTAGCCTAAGAATGTATGCATAACCTTTCTCCAGAACCAAAGCAGCATTCCAGTGTTGTTTCTAAATTATTTACTTGGGTTTCCATAGTAACCGTGCTCCCTGCATTCCACTCAGACACCCTTGTATGTCACTCACCCAGCAAACATTTTGAGGCTACGCTGTGCAAGAACTAAGAAGGGTATCTGTAGAATTATACAAAATATGGCCATTAATTTTAAGAAGTGAGGGAGACAAAATTATAAACAAGGTGTACCAAGCGTTGTTTTTTTTAAATGATGCTGTGTTCCTGGTGACACAAAACTCAGTAGCACAGACCTGGAAGTGTGTCTCAGTCGTTCCTGCATGGGTGGTTGGCTGAGGTTCAGCAGGTTCAGGCTGGGTGATGCTGAGATTGGCTCCAGGCTGCAGAGAATGTCTATATCTCTTCTATGTATACCTCACTTGACAGGTTAATTTTAAAATGCATTTGGAAGGCACAGGACCAACACCAGTTAAACCACCTTGAACCGGAAGAACCAAGTTGGAATGGGCACTCTTTCTAATTTCTGCACTTCTGTAAGTGACAGCAGTCAAGACAGAGGATAGACATATAGGTCAATGGAACAGAATAGAAAGAAAATGATCCACATCTATGGGTCAGTAATTTTGACAGGGGCACCGAGGCCCTTTTTCATAAGCTTATTGGTCATTTCAATGAGAAAAGGACTATTCCTTTAATAAATAGTCTTAGAGTGACTGGATACCTATACAGGAAACAATGAAACTCAATCCTTACCTCACACCATACTCAAACATCAATTTAAGGTGGATGCAACTTTAAGATAGGCCAAGATTCCTTATGTAAAACACTGAAAGGAAACTGTACAAAGAAATAATTTGAGCTTCACCAAAATTCAAACCCCTGCTCATCAAAAAAAAGCCATCAAAAATTTAAAAAGAAATACATAAAAATAAAAATGGAATGCCACATACTGGAAATGAATTAGTGATGTGCTGAAGCTGGATGCTACCAGCTCACAAGAACCTACTAGAACAGGCAGAAATAACCTACAGTGTTAGAAATCAGATCCACAGTTGCTTCAGGGGGCCATGAGCAGCTGGAGCATAAGGGAACTTTCTGGATGACAGAAAGGTTGTGTTTTGATGTTCATTTGCCAAAACTGAAAGAACATTATAAGTAGTAAGATGTAAACATTTCATTATGCTTTAGTATACCAGTTAATGTAAAAAATAAAATGCTAAAATAGCTATGAGAAGGGTAAGATAATATTTAACCTTCTTTCAATAATAAAGGACCTATTAGAAAAATTAGACTATTTTCTACTTTCTGGACCATAAATACCATAAACAAAATTAATGAAAATCTGAGATGGACTATTTGTCATAAATATGGAAGGAAAAATTTCTAGTATATAGAATTCTTAAAATCAACAGAGAAACAGTAAACCTGGTTTAAAAATCTGGCAAAGGACATTATGTAAATTATTATTTAAAATATATATTTTAATTGGAATATATATTGGTAAGGAATTTCTAGAAAGCAATTTGGCAATGTGTGATTCTTAAAAGAGTTTATGACATTTAATCTAATAATTCAGATTGTAGTACTCAATGTAAGTTAATAATCAAGGATATTAAAATGATCCAAAATGTTTATATAGAATAAAATAAACCCTATGATTCAATATAAAATGAATGAATTATTTAGCAAATTGAGCTGAAACTTGGTTATTTTATTGCAGCCTTATTTATATCATACAAAAATTGGCTTAACTTCAATACTCATCAAATAGATAATTATTAAACAAAGTATGGCTTAGCTATACAGTAGAATATTATGCATTCAGTAAAAACTATATCCCCAAGGAATATTTAATAGCATTTGAAAATTCTTATACTATACTAAATGCAATATAAAAAGTTGAGTACTTTATATTTAGTGTATTAACAAGTGGGTGTGAATATGTTGTATATTCAGATACACATTACTTTAACAGAGATTATCTCCGAACAGGTATAAAAGCAGTTGAATTTATTTATTTTTAAAAATGATTTTCTATATTTACTACAGTGAACATGACTTACTTGAA